GTACAAGTTAGACACTAATTAAAAAATTACACTTCATTCTCAAAACATTTAAATCTAACTAAAAAAATAAGTATGGCTTTTTTAGATTTATGTAATTTCTTTTATTCTTTAATGTTTAATAAATATTTTGTTGACCTTCGCATAACTTAAAAAAATATTTAAGATTATACATACAGTGATGGTTCACACGGGTTCCTCACAATTATTTTACTTTTTAATATTTCTTTGTATATGTTTACAATATTGCAGTTCAACATGCATGTAGACAAATATTGCTTATGAATAAAAAACATAGCTGCAAGTTATTTTTAGAATGCATCTTGCAATATAACAACAAAACAAAACGCATATTATTATTCAAAAAACAAAAAGTGCAAATAATTTGTTTTATAAGAAAAAAAGAATGAACATTGCTATATGTCTGCTTATGCATAAAATATTTTATGAAAGAAAAAAAATGAAGAGTACTTATATCTTTTGCTGAAAGAGTACCTTGTAATTTATTAGAAGAAACATCCAAGCCCTCAAGCATAGTCAAGTTTCCGATACATATGCAAATGAGTTTTGAAGCATAAAGAATTATCTAGATTCTTTAATTTTATTTTGATGGTGCTAAATTATTTTTATTTGTATTTGAATTAGACAAGTTTCCAATACCTGACAAAGTTACAAACGAATTCTTACATAATATATCATATGTGGTTAATTATTATGAATTACTAAGAAAAAATAGCCAAATTTCGAAGTCTCTTTATCTTTCCTATACCTCAAATATAAACAAATCTTGGAACTGTGTATTGTGGAATATGCTTGCCTCTGTTCATTGGCCCGTAAAATAGAGATGTTGATTATGGTTTATAGGGACTAAAGTTTCTATTTTCCAATTCATTAATCCTTGTTTACAGTTCAAGGGAAACAACATAATGGAGATTTTATATTTTAATATTGATGTAGATATATATATAACATTGTCACACAAGTGATTATGTTCCAACAGACAAAAGAAGAATGAAAAGGAATAAAATGATCGATAGTACCAAGCTATATATCAAGTTTCCAATGCATCTTTATGTTGCCAAAAAATTAATTAAAACCGAGAAAGTCAGTTATATAAAAGTGAAAATGAATAAAGCATAATATACTAAACAAATGGAATTAGATCAAAATCTCTCATGATACAAAGAAACAGATTTTGTAATTTTAACGTTTCATGAAACGTGTTAAAATGATGCAATATAACTTATGAGATGATTGAGAATATTCAAAAAAAAATTAAAACAACAACCGGACTTCTTTGAATGTATCCCATGCAAAGATAGTGTTATAAGTAAAGGAGTTAGCTGGCACATGAAAATCATTTTACATGTGCCTCAATTAAATTTGCAAAAACTAAAAAACCCTTTCAAAAAATTTAACAGAAAAAAATTGAAATATTATATTACAAAATAACAAAACATGCAGCTCAATATAAATAACAGGCCAAATACATCATATTGGCTTTTTACAATACATAATAAATAAGGTTAAATTTTTTGAGAAAAAATGATGTCATATAAATTTCACTCATATTGAACTTTACAACTATACTCAATGTTGTTGAACAACTTTTTGTGGAAAATATGACACCCAAAAGGCTATCTATAAATAGTAATTGAAAATAATCATTTTATATAAAAATGTAAGTTCCAGAACACACAAATTTATAAACAAAAGGAAAAATAGGAAGAGAAAATCAATTTCGTTCTTAGTAATAACGAGAAGACAACTTAAGAGAGAAAGATTATAGTAGCTTGAACATCATAATTTGATGAAAAATTACCTTGTAAATTATTTTGATCAATATATACCTTTTGTGGCATAGCCAACTTCCCAACTATTAACGCTTAAAGATATAAAATTTAAATTTGTCACATAGCAATTCTATTAAGAATATTTTCTATGTATTTGATAAAGATGTGAGAAAAGTTGTTTAATGCTCCAAGTGTCCATTGATGATAAATAATTTTAACAAATCTAGCTTTTAAAATTTAGAAAAAATGTTTTGGGATATATATATTTGTATGTCCAAGATATACCTTTTTCTGTGATCAAGTGGCGGGGACATATATATTATATGATATGGCTCCTAAATGAACTTTCCTAAAAAATAGCACAAATATGATAAAATGTTACACATTATGATTAGTTAAAAGTGTACCTTCAATGTTATTTTGACCAAGGTCTAGCTCTTAAAGTTTTGTCAAGTTTCCAATATTCCTTGGTATTTGGCCAGACAACTTGTTAGCACCTAGATATATTATTTTTAAGTTTGTTAGATAACCAATTGTTTGAGGAATATTTCCTGCAATATGATAATAAAAAAAGCACATTATTATGAATTCTCATGTATAAGATCATGATAAAAGCAAAATAAGTAATAAACATAATTTTATGAATGCATTTTGTTTAAAGTTATCGTGATTATGATATAATAACTCTTGAATTTGTATTTAAAAGAAACTGGAGTCTGGAAAAAAAATAAAGCTCTTAAGCCAAACAATTTTTATAATATAACCGCTAATTTGCGCTCTATTGTTCATTATCAACGAAATATTATAGGACAAAACAATTCATTAGCCTAAATATACAAATTTTTGAAATTGTACTTATTTACTATGGTGCATAAATGATTGGATAAATACAAAAAAGGTGCATTGCTGTGTTGTTTGGTGTAAAGGCGAGGGAAGGAGAGTGATGCTGGTGAGGAATGGAATTAATGGTGTTTAACAAGGGTATACAAGTTTATTCCAAAAAAAAAAAGGGTGTACAAGTTTAAATTGCTATGATGCACCTTGTAATAGATACAAAAGTATTTTAGAATCTTTGATAAAGTATTTTTAAAAGAGTTAAAAATTAAATTTAAGCGTGTACTTTTGAAAATTATGTGATACTTTATGCAATATTAATCAATTAAATATAAATGAATATATTGCACTCTAAAAATGAATCATAAATAATATGAAAATTGTCGAACAATATATATCAAAACTAGTAAAATACTTTGATCGTAAAGATTAAAGACTTACATAAATAAAAAATTAGAATTACCAATTAACAATAAATATAATATAAAAGGTGTGAAAATAGTGTGTGTGGTGTAATATTAATAAATTATTAAATTCTTTGAATTTATATCATTATTTCACTCCTAGATCATTAAAATGTGAAATCCTTTTATATTCTTTACAAATTTTTTTTATTAAAGTACTTTCGTAAAGTTAATATGTTGTTAATATGTTTTATATTTATATATTTCTATTTTTAAGCTTTATATTCTTGTACACCGTCTATTATGTAATATAACATTTCCCTCAAATCATAAAATTAATTTTAAAAATATTGATGATAAAAATTAAAAAAGAAAATCCAAATGAAGATTATATTGCCTAAAAATAGTTATCTTTTCAAAATGCTTTTTTTTTATGACATCGGTAAAATTCTTGTGTGTGAAGAGTTGTTAGTTCCATGGATAGATTAAACTTACAGGGTTATATAAATTCTAAAATTAGTCAAAACGATAACAGTTGTTGAGGGGTAGATAGAAAATACTACTAAATAGCTTAACTCAAGTAAAAAAAAATCTTGAAAGCTGGTAATAAATATTTAAATAATAGCTTGAATAGATGCCTGACTTCCACAAGGACCGAACTGACAGCCACGATGGAGACTAGATGCCCGACTTCCATCGGGATCTGACCGACAATGATGACAAGCACCAGACACCTGACTTCCACCTCAACCTTACTGGATAGCCAACTTCTATTGGGACTAAACCGAAGGTGACCAGATGGTAGACT